CAGAACACAAATATTACAAATACTTTATTCATTGAATTACTATTGAATGTTTTTTGAAGAGAAAAAGAAAAATTGGAAATGTAAATAATGCCAAAGTCTAGATAAACACTGACTGTTACACACTGTGTAATCTGAACAGATAAGTAATCTTTCAGTCCAACTTAAAAAAAACAAATAAAAAACATAATAAAACAAACATTCATCCCTTTTTTTTAGATGGACATTGTTGCACAGAGACAAACACAGTACAAGAGATGAAGCTGTTATGTATCACAATAGGAGGACCAGCTGTATTTGGAGAAGCATGGAGAGAGACTTTTGGAAATGGTGTTATGCAGAAACACTCCTGCCAATTCAATCCTTCATACTGGCAAAGGGAACGTTTCGTGACCAAACTATTCCAATTTCTTCCCCTGTTGAATTGCACGATGTCTTGGGACAGCTTGGTGCCATATGTGACTGCCTGGATGCGTACAAGGGTCTTTCAGCCAGTAAAAGACTCGACATTACTGAACATCTCTATTAAAGCTATACTGGTCCAAAACAGCAACTTTAGGCAGGCACATGCTTGGCCTGTTTCTGAACGCTCCAAAACAAGAAATAAAACCTTTATCATTTATAGCAGTGTCCACCATCTGTAAGTGTCTCCTACCTCCCGCTTAGGAAAACAGACGGTGCTCTAACATGGCAAACATCTTCCATTCATGGCATAATTAATATGCTGGGACAGACTAATTAATTTCCAGTTTGACTTTTTCCATTTATCTGGTTATTTATGCTGTGATTTGAGCCAGTGGTTAACTTCATACAAAAATGACAAAACACATGGCTGACAGAGAGAGAGAGAGAGAGAGAGAGAGAGAGATGAGATGGAAATGGACTTTAGCATATCTCTGGAACAGCAAGATTACAGTTAAAAAAGTCCATCTGAAAGATATTGTGTCACACTGTACTACACAGGGAGCAGGGTGGTAACATAATAACGTAACATAAAATAACAGCATAGCCTAACAAACATAACATATAACAACAATATAACATAATGCATCATAACATAGCATAACATAACATAACGTAACATAAAAACATAGCATGGCATAAAAACATAACCTAAGGTAACATGACATAACGTTACATAACGTGACCAAGATAGCATGACATGACATGACATAAAAACATATCAACATGCCCTGAAATGAGTGTATAGAAAGAGGTGTTCCTGAAAAAGAGGGGGAAAAACGTTGTTGTCAGTGAAACTAAAGTAGTTACATAAATTACTATTAAAAAAAAAAAAAATCATTTCCATTCATTAATGCCACTAGAATAGTTCCAGTGTAGAGTTTAGTCTTTGATTGCTTATTATTCGGTTTAACCAAGCAAAGACACTGAGCTCCATTGCTCCCCTTCCCCACTAAGATAAAGACTATGCTCAGTTCAAGAAGAAATAACACCCCAGGGGAAAATGATGACTGTGATTGTAGATATGATGATGATGTTGATGGCCACCATCTGCAGCACCTAAGCACCTACAATCACAGCCGTAAACAAAAGACGTGCTGGAGGGTATAATTGTTTTTATACATTGTTTTCCAACAAAGATGGAATATGACTTTTTTTTTTTTAAATGTTATAAATACTGTGTTATGCAAATGTGTGAATATATAGATTAATTAACATCCACTCAGTATTCAATAAAATTTCTTTTATTTATTTATTTATTTATTCTGACTAATACTTGGCAATCAAAACACTTGGCCAGTTTAATTGTGAAATGCATATCCGTGGGGAGAAATAAATTACAACAACATTCATTCCAGCTATATACACATGTGGCACTGCTGTGAATAATTGTCATCCAGCATTTACAGAAGTGTCATTATGTACCGTGACACACACACACACACACACACACACACACAGGAGGTAATTGTGGAGTAATTGTTGATGCAGCTGCAGCCTTCATAGACACAGGGCTCAGCTTCTCTGCTGCCTGTTCTCTGCTGCTCTTTACTTATTTATCACAGAAAAACCAAACACTAATTTAATTCAAGGTGCTGTATATTCATTTGCACAAAATGATATTCAGTTTCCGTTTGGGTGGGGGTGGGGCTTTTGTGGTGGCTCTTCTCAAGACTCTGTCGCAACTTTTGTCAGAGTGAGAACCCAGAGAGCTCTGCCTCCAAGGAGAATGAATACACTGCAGGAGATGTTAATGGTTATGACGGTGCGCCACCTCGTTTCTCCACCGGCATGTGAACTGCACCTCTAGACTCAGACTTAGCAAATATCAGTCACCCCATCTTGAATGTCTTAAAAAAAAAAAAGGCCATTGACTCAGACCTGATCTGAGCAGAGTTGATACTAATGCTCAATTTCTGCCTGACACTGCTCTGTAGCTGACCCTGCTCTCTGACCTCCCTCGAAAAGGCACGAACATAAAAGATTATTTCTCCCGCAGGGATCAATAGAGTATCACAAAAAGGCTTACATTGTATTTTCTGCTAACATGTTTTTTTTATTTCTTTATACAAGCAAGAAAATATGAGAGTTATAAAGATGTGTTGATTTAGAGGATAGAGTTCTAAAATACCACCAACACACTGAGTGATATGCAGCATGCAGGTCTTTAAAATATTGAGATGACATTTTTCTGTGTGCTGACATCAGCTCTCCAACACTCCCCAAAAAAAAAAAAAAAAAAAAAAAACGCAGCAGAAAATCTCTCCTCACTGTTTATTTCTGTACCCCACTCCAGCAAGTTTAGACATAAGACATGCACACAAACACCTCTTGTGCTTCAAGGGGTTTATGACCTGACGTAAAGCCCTTTTCTCCCCAAAAGACGCAACCTTTCGTTTGCATGTGTACAGTATAAGTCTCCTCACACTCCATAAAACTGGGGTCAGCAACAACTGAGAGTGACTTCTTGCGGGGGGGGGGGTTACGAGACATCACAGACAGAGAAAGACGGATGAAGAGAAATCTGACATACAGCGGTGATGGTGAAGTGTATGTTGTGTTCACAAGTGAGTCAGTCAGCGCGAGACGCACAGACGCACTGATGTTGAATGAATACATTTGTGCATGCAGCTGAATGTGTATGTGTCAGTCTGTTTTATCTGCATGGTATGGCGCTGCAGCGTATATGATTTAGTTAGTAATTAGGGAATAGAGACATATCCAATTATTGGGGTTGTGAAATATCACCCTGTCTCAGTAGTTATTCCAGTACTGTCTGCACCCTGCCTTATTATTACACCAGCTGCATATATGATTAGGTGTGTGCGTGTGTAAAAGAGAGAGAGGGAGGGAAAGAGACAGAGAAAGAAAGCGAGGCAGAGCGAGTACAGCATATGTGCGTGTGTCCTGGAGAGGCGGCGTCTACAAAGGAAACTCATTTCTGCTCATTGTAGATTATAGGTGGCAGGACCACATGCCCACAGGAGCTGCAGCCAAACCCACTGCTGACAGTCCCATGACACCTTGTGTGTATGTGTGTGTGTGTGTGTGTGTGTGTGTATGTGTGTGTACTGTATGTGCATGCGGGCCTACATACAACATCTCGTACATATGTATGTGTGTATTTCTCCCTCCCCGTCTGACTTTAAAGTACATGGGTGTGCACGGAAAGGTGAGCACTACATCACAAACAACCTCTGCACATAAATGAAAAAGGCCAATCAGACAGGATGCATGCACAACCTGCTCTCTGGTGAAAGTGAAAACAACATAGGAGGACATGGGTGCATGGATAACTGTTTGGGGAGGGATGGGGGGAGGGTGTGTGTGCACAATCCTATCTCACCTACTGAAAAAGCCACCGGGGACTGTTCTATGTCAGCAACTGGAGAGCTGCTATCGCCAACCATCTGGGAGAGGAAAGAGAGAAATACTCTGAGGAGCTCTCCGTGTGTATGCAGGAAAAAAAAAAGAAAAGAAAAAGAAAAGAAAAATATGAACAGATTTCTGATGTGCAGGTAGACGGACAAAAATAGTCGCTCCATAGAGAGGGCTCTGATATAAACGGCCAGATGACTATCTGCTCTGGGCAGTGGTGATGAAAAGAGAGACGTGACTGCAGAGTGTGGTTGACATAAGTGTACTCACATTTATCTTGTGAGCACTGTATGCGAGTATACAATATATTATGCATGCAAAAGTGAGTCACAGGCTGAAATTCGATATGCATTTCATTTCAGTCATATTTTGTTCCTAGACACAACATCAATGCAAAGTAAAAATGTGACATAGTTTGTATTAATCTCCCTCTAGACTCCTTTCTTTTGTTCCTACCTTATACACACACACACACACACACACACACACACACATATACACACCTGCCTTCCTCCAGCCCCTCCCTTCAGTCTCTGCTAGGCTCACTCACTCTCTCTCACACACACACACACACACACATATAGTGACAGCTATGGAAAAAGTGTAGTGAAGCAAGTAGAAATGATTTACAAGTTACACATTTGAACCGAAGGACAGAACCTGCTCGTGTATTCAGGATGGTGGAAACACATTTGTCATGTCCTGCAGCAACAGTGTGCCTACGATAAGGACGCAGTTTTTGGAGCAGTTTTGAGATAGTAGAGATGTTTATTGCGCATCAGGAGCGCAATAAAAAACTCCACGCTTCCCTCGTATGCTCCTCTTGAGATATGCAGGCTCTTATCGCTGATGACTGCTGCCTTGAACTTGCCTATAAGGACTCCGCTGATCATGTAGAGAATTCCACAGCTCTCTGACAACAAAAACCATGCCACGGTAACAGCCGCCTATCGCCGCTGGCCGCCCTGCTCGCGCCCGATTGGGTCGTCTGATTGACTGGCACGTCCCTCCGCGTCTCCCATTGGCTCGGCTGTAATGGTCCCCGTGACTGCGCTCCAGTGGAAGCCTGTGAAGGCGGAGCGCGGCGGCCGAGGCGGAGCTCTCCTTGGTACTTAAATGGAGCTGGCGGCTCAAAGAAGTGAAAGTACTAGCACACGCACGACAGCCGGAGCGCCCCGGTTCGCGGTGCGAAGAGTGAGAGACGAGTGTGAGAAGAAAGAGGACGGAAGAAGAGAGAGAGGGAGAGCAGGGGACCGTGCAGCCCTCTGTACCAATGGACCATAAGGATATTTAACCATTTGCCCGGGGAGCGCACAGGTATCCTCCTTTTCCTCCAGTTTCTTTCCGTTGTGCGCCGTGCGTAAAGACACAACAGTGGCCTTTATTTACGGTGCCTTCTCCTTCCTCACTCTTTTTATGCAGCAGCTGCCATCCAAACACTATTTTTTCTCTCTTTTCCTTTTCCTTGCTTCCTCTGCATGGGAACAGCAGACTCTTTTTACATTCCACTGGAATTAATGATTGACTAATGGGTGTGAGCAGAGCAAGGGGCAGAGGATCATTGATTGTGTTAGTGTACTCTGTCGGCTCAATAACACAAGAGAGCTCCTGTCCCTCTCTGTAGGTGACTGCTGAGAAGTGTTGATTGCCTTCTTAAGCCTGCTCTCTTATCAATTGTCCAAAGGGATTTAAATGCAGCCAAGCGTTTGTGCTCAGTGTGTGGCGCCTCGTGAAAGTGAATATTGCTTGCCGCTGCATTTTACTCTATTGACACCCATCTCTCTATCTCTCCCCATCTCTCACCCTCTCTCCCCATCCCCTCTCAGACACCGCAGTCCATGCCTCTGCCTTGCCAGGTCATTGATGGGAAATCAACTGGATCGGATCACCCACCTCAACTACAGCGAGCTGCCCACGGGGGATCCGTCCGGGCTAGAGAAGGACGAGCTTCGGGTCGGCGTCGCCTACTTCTTCTCTGACGAAGAGGAGGAGGTGGACGACCGCACTCCGTCTGACTGCGGCTTCACCAAGGACCACAGCCCGGCCGAGGAGGGACCCTTCTCGGTCAGCGAGGTGGAGTACTCTGCGTTCTGCTCCCAGGAATGCATCTTCTCCAAGCTGCGGGAGAACGAGGACTTGAATGTGTACTCGGCCAAAACTTTGCTGACTATGTGCAAACCGGGGGACCTGCTGGAGCTGGTGGCCACCGCGCAAGCCCCCCACTGGGCCATCTACGAGCAGGACGACCAGGTCATTCATCTGCACAAGGGCGAGATCCGCAAGGACAGCCTGCTTGAGATCAGCAACGGTCGCCACGGGAGGATAGTCAACAATCGGTACCGGTACCGACCGCTTCCTCCTGACCTGGTGATGCAGAACGCGGTGGGACACCTGGGCCTGAGCAGCGACGAGATATGCTGGACCAACTCGGAAAGTTTCGCAGCCTGGTGTCGTTTTGGGAAACGGGAGTTCAAAGCCGGGGGAGAGGCGCACTCAGCGGAGCAGCAGTATTTCCTCAAAGTGCATCTGTCTGGCAGCGGGGTGCACACTCTGGTCTTTCGCAGCCTGGAGGACATGATCCGGGAGAGGAGGCGAGTGGACGCCAGTGGAATTCTCAAAGAGCTGTCTTTGGTTAACGGGGGCAAGGAGTGATCAGGGATTCCGTTTGATATCCTCTCCCTCCAACCCCCCTACCCCCCCAGCTGCCTCCCTCTCGCCAAAGCGCAGGGACGCACAGTTTTTGCGCACACACAAACGTACTCGCACACACGCACACAAGCACACGGACGCACACACATGCAAGGACCTGTTGGTTTTGAACTGTCTGTCTTGTCAGGGATGGACCCCGGGCTGCGTCTGGACCACAGGCGCTCTGTGGAATTTCCATCAAATTGCAGAGTGTTGAAAACTGAGAGAGAGCGGCCATATAAACAGACAACGCCCCTTCAGATTAGAATTCGTGCTGAGTGGGACACACGATTTCTACTAAACCCATTGCCCCGAACAGCGAAATCACCTGTACGACAACCCGCACATAGCGCACACGGCTCGGTTTGGTTTTTCTGTTTATTTTCTCGGGAAAATGGATTTGGCCCCTTCTCTGCATAGGGCGCCTGCTGCGGCAGACCTGACGGTGAGACCGGGAGAGGGAGAGATGGGGGGGGGGGGGGGGGGGGGGAAAGAGGGGGGGGGATGAAAGATAGGATCTGGGGTGGCTCTCCAAAAGTCTCCCTTCTATTTTTTTACTGTTAGCTTTAAGACCGGGACTGACCATAACACAGATCCAAGCCACTAATTCATAGACCTCTGACAGTCCCAGATGGCTACGCAGTTGCCTAAACAAAGCATTTTGGCTTGTTCAAGCTCCCCTTTTTGCCATATCAAGAGTATTGTCATTTTCACAATGCTGTCATCCTGATCCACGGCACTGGATGTATGTGTAAATTGTATTCATATATTGATTTCAATTTGAGTCCCTTATTTTTGTATTTAAGTTTAGTGGATTAACCCTGATCTCTTTTCTTGGTTCAAATAAATGGAGGTTGAAATATGAAAATAATCAGTTGGTCTAGCAGGTGTTGTTTGATCACACATGTACAATAACACACCATTTCTCACTCTTTCTCTCTCTCAAACACACACACATACACACTGGGATGTATGAATTATTGATGTACTGGTGCCTCCTGACCTGCCTCAAGCCAAATAGGCTTCATATAACTCCACAGTATTTGGAGGCAGTAAAATGGTCATCTGCATCAAACCCATAAAGGCTTTATGAAAAATCCATATGGGATCTGGGGGCTACAGTATATGGGCAGCTGTATAGAGTCAATGAGAACATGCGGTATTTGGCCACAGGCCACATTTCCATGTTTGGGTTTTACCCTGTTGATATTTAGGCTACACATCCACAGGCATGGCGATCTCTCCTAATTCTGTGTTTTTCATTCTTCACAACAGCTCTACTCAAAGTTATGCTGGCTTCTCAGCTCATATTTTACATCTGCATTGTGAACAAGACGTCCTCCATATGATGCTTGTTATGAAGAAACACACTGTGTTATTATGGCACCTGTGTTGTATCAGTCTGCAGTGGCTTTATCCCTGGATTGATGTTGCTGCTCCTCTGCTGTGAGAGTCAGACAGCGCCTTGGCTTGTGATCTGTGGTAGTATCAGTGGAGGTGGTATCAGTCACCTCACTAGTGTAAAGGCGTCCGTCTCCCCTCGCTTTGCTTCTTACCTTTGCTTAATTGAGTCTGAAAGGACCAGAGAGCAGATTCATGGAAATGTTTTGCTGTAATATTTCTCTTTGTTCAGGTTGCCAGCTTGCTGCACTTGAGATTCATTTTTGACTGTATACATAGGTGAATGGCCACTGTGTGGAGGTGAAGAGGTTTTCAAAATGTTATATTGCCACTATACAGCTTGTCTGGTTGAATCTTCACCTCTGAGTACTTATGCGGTCGTAAATAACAAAGCAGTTGATTTAGTTCAATCCAGCTGGAGAGGCGAGTGAGACAAAGACTTTGTGTTTGTGTGTATGTGTGTCTGAGAGAGGGAGAGGGAGCGAGTGAGGCAGAGAGCATGCTGGTAAACCAGCATGCATGCTGGGATTTACCATGTGTGTTTTTGTCTCTGCTGGGACTGATTTTGTCTGATGTAGGTGATGTTTGCTCCACTGACAAGTTCAATCAGACACAGGTCTCCTGTCCAGTGGTGTTGTGTGTGTGTGTGTGTGTGTGAAAGAGAGAGAGTGCGCGCAGATGTTGCAATCTCAGCTTTCAGACATTTCTCATGTCAACATACAGACTAATAAGACTGTGGATCTTGTAAATGTGCCTTGAGAAGATTTTCTCCTGCTATTGACCCAAATACTTTATTCTTTTGGCGTTGCTGTGAATATATTGACACATTTCCTCTCTTGTTTCCTCCCATTCCTCTAATTCTCTTTAGCCTCTGTTGGCCAGTATTTCTTCATTATTGCTCTGTATTGCTCGACTCCCCTCGCTGCTCATTGTTTTACTAAAGCCAAGAATCCCAGTGTTTCCATCCCTTGCAAAAACCACACTAACACAAAATTCAGTTTATTTTAAAACTTAGCAAGGATGGGAACCAAAATGTTTGTAGAAGTATTCAAACTGATGTCTCAGGCTTGAATGAGGTATTTTAGTCCAAATTTAGACACATTTCAATTATTCAAATATGCAAACAAACATGTATTCCAGATTGATTTGGATAAACATCAATTTACTGCTGTTTTATTCATTTGCTTTCTTCTGTTTTACCAGAAGTACATTTTGAACAGGCTCAGTGTTAAATTAAGGTTGCCCCAGGTGTGTGTGTGTGTGTGTGTGAGTGAGTGAGTGAGTGAGTGAGTGAGTGCTCGCATCAGACATCCCCTCTGAGTTTGAAAAATCAGGGTACTGGGGCAGCTGGTGTTAGAGTTTGTATGTGTGCTTGTGGTCTGTGACTAATAAGCCTCAGAGAAAGATTTACCATTGTGTGTGTGTGTGTGAGAGAGAGAGAGAGCGAGAGAGAGAGCTGCAGGCAGGTAATGCACACCACATTGTTACTGTTAGCTCGAGGAGATGCTTCTGCCATCTGACATGATATTGTATGTGTGTGTGCATTGCTGTTTCAGCCCTATATACCATAAATGAATGTGTGAGTGGGTGAAAGTGTGAGACCTACCTAGCTACTAAAGCACTGAGTGTCAGGTTGTTTGTGTAAGCTCAGACGACTCAGTGTGTGTGTGTGTGTGCGTGTGTGTGTGTGTGTGTGCATGCGTGCATGTGTGTGTATCGTCCATATGCTGTGTGCATGTATATTTATGAAGGTCTGCATCTTTGTATCCATCAGCGACATTGTGAAAGTAAACACTGTTACTAGGGAAACTCCAGCCTCTGTTGTACTGTATATCCACTGAGGTCTTGTGCGTGCATGCATGTGTGTGTGTGACTGTGCAAACTCTCCACAGCTCAAAGCTAGTTGTTAGCCTTAATAGTTACTCATGTAAGACAAACATATGACAACCACATCTTTCTCTCTCTCTCTTTCTCTCATACACATACACGCACTGCCTCGCTGGGGACCAGCTATTGTTTCTTTGTGCCGTGGCATGGATGTGTTCAATTCACGAGGAGGTTCGTCTTCAGTGTGGCAGTGTGTGTGTGTGTGTGTGTGTGTGTGTGTGTGTGTGTGTGTGTGTGTGTGTGTGTGTGTGTGTGTGTGTGTGTGTGTGTTTGTGTGTGTGTGCATCTAGACAAAGCAGATCGCAGCTAGCCTGCTGCCAGCTAAATCAGTGGTCTCAGAGGAGATGTTCTGGGGAGGAGGGAACAAGACAGAGTATCCTGTCTGCACGATGCCTTTAAGAGGATCTCCCTCTAATCTAGACACTGGTCTGGACTCCCAGTAGACTTGAATGTCTTGTGTTCCTCTTCTGCCGTTCTTTAGGATGGGCTCTTTTATTCAACAACAATGATGGCTACACAGCTGGTGATGGAAATGAGGCAGTGGTAAATGCGTTACATGCTGTTAAACCATTGGTAGCGATGGTTTCTTCTAAACATCTGTTGTAAAACATGTTGCATACATCATATGCAGTATTTCTGCGTTTGAACTTGCACCTACATACTGACATTTAAAAGTGATTAGATGCTGCAACACATTTGTAATTTGAATTACATGGCCAACTAGACCTGCTTATCAGTGCCCTCGAAGCATTATCTTTGTGCGTGAATGATTAAACATGCAATTGGTTGGAGCTTGTTTACTGAGCTGCATGCTGTTGGTGCTTGCCCAGCGATTCTCGTGAAAACAATGGCCATAAAACCTACGTGCAGCATCCTTATCTGTCATAGCATCGCTATTATATCAGTTAAATAACTAAGTTCTTGCACATCATAAAGGCTTAAAGGATAAATCTGGTAATATTTTTTATTTTTTTGCCGACAAATCCAATGAAAAGACCAAAACCAACAATGAAGTGATCCTATTACCAAGAAGTGGCTGTTTAGCCAAAGCCTGATTAAAGCATATTCTGTGCCATACAAATCCATTGTTGTACAAACAAGATTTAAAAACACAGCTTTGAGTCACACTGTTGGACTGGGTGACATTACGATGAACATAGGCACTGTAGTTTTTTTTTATATGTTAGTGTTTTGAGGAATCCAAATGCACTTTTTACTCTGTTTTACTGTTTGAATAATATCTTTTTAAAATTACAGGGCTCAGCTGTTTATTATGTAGCCTTTTTTTCTTTTCTTTTTTTAAATGAAAGTATATGTTTGTGACCATTTTTTAGATTTTTTTTTTATAAGATTTAAAACTAATGGGCTTGGGGCTGAGAGCTTCAGGGTAGGGAAGTTGGAAAGTGTTGGGAGACGAATTTCAACGAATTTCTGTTTAAAAGTGGCAATCTCGAAGATTTTCATTTAAATAAAGTTAAGTCAGTGTGAGGTAACACAGTGGTGATTGAGCTTATGGTCCACTGATGAAAGAACAACTTCACATTACAAAGTATTGAGGTGGCAAAACATGAGTTGACTTTTATTATAAGACACACGAAATGCAGTATGTTTATCAATGAGTTTAGCACTTACCGCTACTGTTAATCAAAAATGGGCCTTCAAAACAAGACAACGGTCATTTTTGTAATTTTCTGCCAGCAGA